AAGAATGTGTTCATGCTTATTCAAGGCAGAAATAGTAGTACTCGTAAGGTAGATGTGTTCCTGGTGGCCAAGGTACAGGTGAGAAGCTCAGCTCCTTCAGCTTATAGAACACTCTCCTTATATTTATTTATTTTGTCAGATATATGCTGCGATGCCAGAAATAGCGGGATAGAAAACAACAACCCTAATAGCCATGAGACAGAAAAGATAAGTAGGTACATTCTTTCCCTCCAAGTCACTAGGCTACACCTCTGCATTCTCTTCCCTTTCTTTAATTCAGTCATACAACTTGGCAATCAGCCAATACAAGTCCAGTTTAAAAGCTGTTTCATTTTTGGCCCAGGTACTGTCCACATCCACAGGGTAGGTGGCAGATTTGGTCCATATATTAAAAGAGCTCACAAGTTCGCAAAGGAATACTGTAAACGTAAAAGGTTCCAACACAGATCTCTTGTTTATAATCTTTATGAAATAATGATTATATAACGTAATGTTTATAATCATTATGAAAATGGAGAAAATATGAGGGCAGCAGAGAGGAAGAAAGGAAAATCTCATTTGGCTTAAGAAAGGTTAGCATGTGCTTGATTCAGCAGTATTTAGCATAGAAAGCACCAAATTGTGTGTCTTTTGGCAAGTTTTTATAGTACTGTCTTGTTTAGAATGAGAGGCCATGATAATGCTGAGTTGGTAGACTCACTGTAAGAATGTGATTGTAATTCAAAAATTAATGAATAAGTAAGTATATTAGCTAGGTAAATATGAGGGCACCTCAAAAATTTCATGGGATGCAATTAAAAGACAAATTCATTTTGGTGGAAAAAAATTGAAGTACATGCATAGCTTTTTCATAACATGCATTTTCCATGAACTTTTGAAGACTTCTTGTAGAGAGAAACAAATAGTACTTCTGCTGTTTTTTTTTTCCGATAGGCACATGAATGAATATTTGAGTTGGGATGCAAATGTGTTATATGAGACATATATCTTATATATCTGAGACATGTATCTTATGCAACATATTTATCTTATATATGTTACTGTTGACTATCTTGCACTTATATGCAAGATAATCCTTAAAACACCTGACCATACATACAGAAAGCCCTGCTAAGTGTCAAGGGATATGTGCTTGGCACACACAAGCTTGGAGCTTAAAGGATTTTTAGAATTTTAGCTAGTGAAATTTATTTAATTTAGTTGTGTTGCATTAATTATCACTTTAATGTGATTCTGTGATTCTACCAATCTAATATATCAATAAAGTCCTTTTAAAAATGAAATACTATTCAAATACTTAAGGCATTCAGGGTCAGTCATAGGGCTTTGTATCACTTAAAGTTTGGGTTTGATGTTTCTGGACATTTCATTCCAGACAACAGCAGCAGCAAAGAACAAATGGTATCAAAGAAAGAAACTAGGAGTTTGTTTTCTGCATCCAAATTTTGGCTGACTTCCTCTCAAAGACATTACAGAAAGGGTTGTACAAACACCTGATGAGCTCTGTGTCCTAGCACCTAAGTTCCTTTGAAAAGAGTGGTGCAGTGCTAAGTTGTTGCCTGAAGCATGTAAGAGGGAAGTAAAATAAAAATAGTAAAGAAGCAACTTTTCTAACTTTTTCCTAACTTTTAAAAAGTGAAGATTTTTCTAGAGAGTAGGATCAAGTAATAATCCAAAGGACCCTGTTTTCTGTTTTAAATAGTCAGAGGCAACCATGGGTGCCACCTGCACATTGTGTCAAATGGCTGGCTGGCGTGGGATAAGGGAAGAACAGAAGAAGCACCAGTGAGGACATGGATCACTGTACTTTCACTAGACCGTGAAGATCAGGTAATTGACCTATTACCATCACAGGAGGGAAAGGAAATTGTAATTGACATGATGTGCTATGGTGTGACATATTTTGTACATGCCGTTTTTATTTTTAAAGATTTATTTATTTTATTTGAAAAGCAGAGTTAATAAGAGGCAGAGAAAGAGAGAGAGTGGGAGAGAGGTCTTCCATCCACTGGATCACTCCGTGAGCTGGGCCAATCCAAAGCCAGGATTCAGGAGCTTCTTCCAGGTCTCCTACACGGTGCAGGGGCCCAAGGACTTGGGCCATTGTCCACTGCTTTTCCAGGCCACAGCATAAACCTGGATCAGAAACGAAGCAGCTGGGCCTCAAAGCGGTGCACAAAAGGGATGCCAGTGCTGCAGCCATGGCTTTACATGCTTTGCCACAGTGCCAGCCCCGACATGCTGTTTTGTTATCATTATTTTACTTCCAACATGGTCTTATATTCTTTTGTTTTGAAGATGTTTATTTAATTAATACAAATTTCATATGTAGATTTTAGGAATATAATGTTTCTTCCACCCATTCCTACCCTCCCACCCCCACTCCCATCCTACCTCCTATTCCCTCTCCCATTCCATTTTCCATTAAGATTCATTTTTATTCGACTTAATATACAGAAGACCAACTCTATACTAAGTAGAAATTTCAACATGGAAAGCCAAGACATAGTCGCAAAGACAATTCTGCATGAACGATCTCTGTGGGTGAGACCACCGTGGAAAGAAGGGGTCATCAAAAAAGAATGTATTTTTCTCCAAAGGGAGGAGAGAACTTCCACTTTGCATATGGCCCTGTCTAAAAACCAACAGAGTTTGTGGACTCAGAAGGCTTCCATAGTCTTGGTAGTTCTTGTCAAGAGCCTCAGGTGGTCACTGAAGTCAAAAATAAGAATGCTAATTGTTAAATCAACAACAAGAGTCACTGTGCACTTGCTCCCCATGTGGGACTTCTGTCCTTAAATTCTTTCTCCTTTATATTGAAATACATGCATATATTCTTTTTCTTTTTTACTTACCCAGAAACACAGGCAAAGATAAGGATGTAGGACAGTCTGAATGGTACTTGTAATTAAATTACCTTTACCTTTGAAAGAAAATATGCATAAATCACTCCTTATGATCCTCTTGCTGCTTACTTGGAGGATGATTTAAATCCAGGACTTCAAATAATTTTAAGAAGCAGGTGCTTTAATGTTATCACATTAGAGGCCTTAACTTCTCTCAGAGAAAACAAATAAACAGAAAATCAAATAAATGAGAAAATGAATTACTCATGACCTATTTGTTAGTCCACAACTCCTTGATTAATTGCCTTTACAAGGAATTTTGCTAAGTGGAAATCTGATCTACGAAAATCTAAATTTCACTATGAATTAATCACCAATTACTTTGGACAAACAAATTAAACATCTATATCCAATTCAGGAAATTAAGTGCTCTAGAAAGCACAATCCTTAAAAAAGTGGCATTCTAACTAATGCTTATATATCGTATGCTTCTCTACAAAAAGAAAGTAAAACTAGAAGTAACCTTTTGGGTCTTTTCACCATAAAGAAATGTTAAATATTTGAGGTGATAAATATATTTAAATTGACCAGCCATAGCAAATGCATACAGGTTTTGAAACATTATCTAGCTGGCGTTGTGGCGTATCGGGTAAAGCTGCCGCCTCCAGTGCCTCCAGTGCTGGCATCTCATATGGGCACCATTTCGAGTCTTGGCTGCTCCACTTCTAATTCAGCTCTCTGCTATGGCCTGGGGAAGCAGTAGAAGATGGCTCAAGTCCTTGGGCTCCTGCACCCTCGTGGAAGACCCAAAAGAAGCTCCTGGCTCCTGGCTGCAGATCAGCACAGTTCCGGCCGTTGCGGCCAGCAGATGGAGGACCTCTCTCTCTCTTTGACTCTCCTCTGTGTAACTCTAACTTTCAAATAAGTAAATAAATCTTAAAAAAAAAATGAAGTGGTTAAAGCAAATTAAAAAAAAAGAAACATTACCTAGTATCCAATAAATAGGGACAAACATGCTTGCTAAATTTTTTCAATAAAATTTTTTAAAAGTCTTACTGTTCAAAGACTTACCAGTATAAGTATATGGTATTTAAGATGATTTTTGTGCTGGTAAGTGAGAGACAGGTCTAACTTCATTCTTCTGCATGAGAATATTAAGTTTTCCCAGTACTATGTTTTGAGGAGACTTTTTTTCCCCCGTTGTGTGCTCTTGAGCCTTTGTCAAAAGCCAGTCAGTTGTAAATGCATGGATTGATTTCTGTAGTCTCTATTCTGTTCTGTTGGCCCATATGTTGTTCTTAGGCTGCACTGTGCTTTTTTGGAGACTAAGGCTTTGTAGTATATTTTGAAGTCAGTTATTGTGATGTCTCCAACTCTTCTTTTTATCAAGATCGCTTTGGTTATTCAGGATCTTTTTGATTCTGTATGAAGTTTAGGATTCCTTCTATTTTTGTGAAAAATGTCATTAGTATTTTGATAGAGATTATGTTAAAGCTGTAGATTTCTTTGACTGCTGTGGACATTTTAATAATATTAATTCCTAAACCAGTGAAGAAGTAATCATTGCTCCATTTATTTGTGTCTTCCTTTCATCAGCTTTTTATATTTTTTCTGCTATAGAAGTTTTTCAGCTTCACGGTTAAATTTATTTCTAAGTATTTTTTGTAGTTATTGTAAGAATTGTGTTTCTTGACTTCTTCTTCAGATAGTTTGCTGTTAATGCATAAAAATACAATTGATTTTTGGATGTTGATTGTGTACCCTGCCACTTTACTAGTCATTGATTAGCTCTAACAGATTTTTGTTGGAGGTTTGTTTTGTTGTTGTTTTAATACATAGCAGGGACAATATAGCTTCTTACTTTGCATGTTGGATTCAGTTTCTTTCTTTCTCTTGTCTAATTGCTTAGACTAGAATCTCCAGTACTATATTGAGTAGAAGTGATGGGAGTAACATCCCTGCACTGTTCCTGGTTTTTGTGAAAAGCTTTCAACTTTGCTCAGTTAAGTATAATCTTTACTATGGGGTTGTCATATATGAACTCTATTAAGCTAAATACATTCTTTCTATATCTGTTGAGATTTTACCAAGAAAGGACGTTGATTTTTCAAGTGCTTTTTTTAAATCTATTGATCATTTTCTGTTCTTCCTTAGGTTAATGTATTATGTCATGTTTATTGATTTATGAATATTGAACCATCTCTCAGGTAAGTTCTACTTGATTATATTGAATAATGTTTCTAGAGTGTTGTCTAATATAGCTTGTTGGTAACTTCTTGAAGATTTTTGCATCTATGTTCATCAGGCATATTGGTGTGCAGCACTTGGACTGGTATGGTTTTGGGATCAGGCATTGTAAAATGAGTTTAGAAGTATTCTCTTCTCTGTAGTTGTTTATAAGTGATTCAAAAGAATTGATGCTAGTAGTCCTTAAAATGTTTCATAGAATTCAGTCATGAAGCCATGAGCTACTAGGATTTTCTGTTATGGGAGACTTTTTTTTTATATATTCAACACTTTTTTGTGTCTTTTATAGCTCTATGAGGAACTGGTTAACTCCATTAGACTTCCATTATTGTTCTAAATCAATACTGTTGAGTGCTTCAGGCAGTTCCATCTGTGTATTTCTGTTTTAATTTTCTTACTCACCGTTGATCTGTTAAAATCTTCCATTTCTTAATAACCTGCTCTTGGTAGGATTTACACATCTAGAAAATTAATCCTTTCTTCTAATTTACCCTATTTGTTGGCATGTAATTGTTGAGAATAGTCTCTTATGGTCCTTTGTATTTATATCAATTTTAATGTCCCTCCTTTCATTTCTGATTTTATTCATTTAAATCTCTTCTCCTTTTTACTTAGTTCAGCTAAAAGTTTGCTAATTTTCTATATCCTTTCAAAAGAATCAGTTTTTAGTTTTGTGGTCACTCTTATTATTTGCAGTCTCTATTTCATCTAAAACTACATGGATCTTTATTGCTTCCTTCCTTCCATTAACTTTACAGAGATAAGTGAGTAATGAAAGAAAATGAGCAAAGTCAACACAGCATTAAAGTTTATGTATTGTATGGGGTTAGTAAATAGTCCAGCAAGATTTAAACATGAGATACTAAGTGTAGTCTAGTAGAGGACATTTCTGAATAGTTAGAGTAGAAAGAAATACAATAGAAAAGGGATGGTAAGGGTTAATTGTACTTGTTTTAATGTTGTTCCAAGAAATTTTAATTCTACCTTCAAAATGATGGAAAGACATTGAAGATTATTAAGCAGCAGATTAAAATATCTTCCAAAACATGCTGGAAGACCGATTGACTTGAAAAATATAAGACAAAGTAAACAAATAGATGGACCTGTCTAGATATTCTTTAAAGCAAAGAGTGAGAGTGGTGGAAGAAACGAAGAACTGACATCACAAATGATACTATATTAAAAGTAAAAGTTTTTCTTTAGGGATAGGCTAGAGAAAATAATCATTTTGAGGTACATAGATGGAACACAAGTTGGAACACATTAAGCTATAAAGAAATAATAGTCAAGAGATATAGAAGAATGCCAGAAAACAATGTAAAGATACCAGTTTAGCTAATGTAATTCAAAACAACAACCAAAAAAAAAACCTCACAGATAAGCCTTATTTTTGGCCAGGATACAGGTTGAGGTGATGAGTTTAGTTTTAGATGTGGTGGATTTAAAGAGTGTATGGAAATTTACAGTGGAAATATCCAATATGTAAGTAAAAGGATTCAATAGTGGTTAAATGGCCTAGTCAAAAAATTTTCTGAAAATTATCATTTTGATTATACTTGAGTCATAAGAATCAAAACAGTACCAGAGAGATGACAATGTCCAAAAATATGCTTTTCAAAAATAATTTTAAGAAAACAAGGGCCAGAATTATGGCACAAGTGGCTTAGGCTGCTGTTTATGATGCCAGGACCCCATATTGGAGTGCTGGTTTGGGACTTGGCTACTCTGCTTCCAATCCAGATTCCTGCTAATGTGCAAAAACTAGTATCTTTTTACTCATGTGGGAGGCCAGGCTGGAGTTCCTGGTTTCTGGTTTCATCCTTGAATATTGTGACCAATTGGGGAAGTGAATCAGCAGATGAAAGCCTCTCTCTCTCTCTCTCTCTCTCTCTCTCTCTCTCTCTCTTCCCCAAATGGGGCTGGGAAAACTGGGTCTGCACATGCAGAAGTATGAAACTAGACCCCAACCTTACACCTTACACAAAAATCCATTGAAAATGAATCAAAGGCCTAAATCTACTCCTCTATATCAACAAATTACTAGAGAACATTGGGAAAACTCTGTAAGACATTGCCATAAGCAAAGCCTTCTTTAAAAGACCCCAAAGCACAGATGGTCAAAATATAAATTGGCTAATGGGATTACTTCAAGATGAGAAGAATCTGCAGTGTAAAAAAAAAATCATCAATGAAGAAGCAAGTGACAGAATGGCAGAAATGATTGCAAACTATGCAACTGATAATGGGTAAACATCCAGAATCTATGAAGAGCTTAAGGAATTCAACAACAACAAAATAAACAATCCAATTAACAAATGGGCAAAGGACATTTTGAAGAGAGGAAATTCAAATGATCAATAGAGGCTTGAGAAACTGCTCAGCATCACTAGCCGTCAGGGAAATGCAAATCAAAACCACAAAGAGGTTTCACCTCACCCCAGTTAGAAGGCTCTCATACAGAAATCAACAAATAACAAATGCTGGAGAGGATGTGAGGAAAAAGGTACCCTAATCCACAGTTGGTGGGACTGTAAACTGGTGTAGCCACTGTGGAAATACAGTGTGGAGATACCTCAGAAATCAGAATATAGACCTACCATATACCCAGTCATCCCACTCTTAGGATATTACCCAAATCCAAAGAAATCAGCATATGAAAGAGTTATCTGTAGCCCAGTGTTCATTGCAGCTCAACTCACAATAGCTAAGGTATGGAATCAATCCAGATGTCCATCAACTGTTGACTGGATAAAGAAATTCTGGTATATACATACTATGGTTACTATTAAGATATAGAAAAAATGAAATCCTATCTTTTACAACTAAATGGATGCAACTAGAATCCATTATACTTAGTGAAAAAAGCCAATCCCAAAAGACAGTTACCATATGTTTTCCCTGATCTGATTTAACTAATAGAATCCTGAAATGTAATGTATTGGAGTATAATGCACATTTTAAGATTTGATGATTGAGATTCCTATTCTGTTGAGTAACAGTGTTTTTTTCTTATTATTATCTGTTGAACTCTGACTTAGTGTAGGGTTAAACTTATGATCATTAAGTAAACTGAAAGAACATGTTTCTAAAAAATTAAGAGTGGGAATGTGAGAGAGAAGGGGAAGAAGGGTTTTAGCATGTGCAGGAGGGAGGGTAGGTTGTGAAGTTATCACTATGTTCCTAACTTCATTTATGAAATACATGAAACTCTACAACTTAAATAAAAACTTTTTTTTAACTTTGATTTAGTAAATATAAATTTCCAAAGTACAGTTTATGGATTACAGTGGCTCCCCCCCCATAACTTCCCTCCCACTCACACCCCTCCCATCTCCTGCTCCCTCTCCCATTCCATTCACTTCAAGATTCATTTTCAATTATCTTTATATACAGAAGATCGATTTAGTATATATTAAGTAAAGATTTCATCAGTGTGCACCTACACAGAAACACAAAGTGCAAAATACTGTTTGAGTACTAGTTATAGCATTACTTCACATTGGACAACACATTAAGGACAGATCCCACATGAGAAGTAAGTACACAGTGACTCCTGTTGTTGACTTAACAATTTGACACTCTTGTTTATGATGTCAGTAATCTCCCTAGGCTCTGGAGTTGCCAAGGCTATGGAAGCCTTTTGAGTTTGCCAACTTTGATCTTATTCTGGCAGGGTCATAGTCAAAGTGGAAGTTCTCTCCTTCCTTCAGAAAAAGGTACCTCCTTCTTTGATGGCCGCGTTCTTTCCACTGGGACCTCACTCACAGAGATCTTTCATTTAGGTCTTCTTTTTTTCTTTTTCTTTTTCTTTTTTTTTATTTTTTTGTCAGAGTGTCTTGGCTTTCCATCCCTAAAATAATCTCATGGGCTCTTCAGCCAGATCCGAATGCTTTAAGGGCTGATTCTGAGGCCAGAGTGCTGTTTAGGACATCTGCCATTCTATAAGTCTGCTGTGTATCCTGTAGAATGCTGGATCATTCTCTCCCTTTTTGATTCTATCAGTTAGTATTAGCAGACACTAGTCTTGTTTGTGTGATCCCTTTGACTCTTAGACATATCAGTGTCATCAATTGTGAACAGAAATTGATCACTTGGACTAGTGAGATGGCATTGGTACAAGCCACCTTGATGGGATTGTATTGGAATCCCCTGGCACGTTTCTAACTACACCATTTGGGGCATGTCTGATTGAGCATGTCCCAAATGGTACATCTCCTCCCTCTCTTATTCCCACTCTTATATTTAACAGGGATCACTTTTCAGTTAAAATTTAAACACCTAAGAATAATTGTGTGTTAATAACAGAGTTCAACCAATAGTACTAGAACAAAAAAAAAAATACTAAAATGGATAAAGTATTACATTGTACATCAACAGTCAGGACAAGAGCTGATCAAGTCAGTGTTTCTCATAGTGTCCATTTCACTTCAACAGGTTTCCCCTTTGGTGCTCAGGTAGTTGTTGCCTACCATTGCTTTGGCAGAATGAGAACATATGATATTTGTCCCTTTGGGACTGGCTTAATTCACTCAGCATAATGTTTTCCAAATTCCTCCATCTTGTTGCAAATGACTGGATTTCATTGTTTTTGAATGCTATATAGTATTCCTATAGTACATGTCCCATAATTTCTTTATCCAGTCTACTGTTGATGGGCATTTGGGTTGGTTCCAGGTCGTAGCTATTGTGAATTGAGCTGCAATAAACATTAATGTGCAGACAGCTTTCTTGTTTGCCAATTTAAATTCCTTTGGGTAAATTCCAAGGAATGGTATGGCTGGGTTGTATGGTAGGGTTATATTCAGGTTTCTGAGGAATTTCCAGACTGACTTCCATACTGGCTTGACCAGTTTGCATTCCCACCAACAGTGGGTTAGTGTCCCTTTTACCCCAGATCCTCTACAATATCTTTTGTTGGTAGATTTCTGAATGTGAGCCATTCTAACCTGGGTGAGGTGAAACCTCATTGTGGTTTTGATTTGCATTTTCCTGATTGCTAGTGATCTTGAACATTTTTTCATGTGCCTGTGGCCATTTGGATTTCCTCTTTTGAAAAATGTCTATTGAGGTCCTTGGCCCATCTCTTAAGTGGTTTGTTTGTTTTGATGTTGTGGAGTTTCTTGATTTCTTTGTAGATTCTGGTTATCAACCATTTATCGGTTGCATAGTTTGCAAATATTTTTTCCCATTCTGTTGGTTGCCTCTTTACTTTCCTGACTGTTTCTTTTGCAGTACAGAAACTTCTCAATTTGATGCAATCCCAAATGTTAATTTTGGCTTTGACTGTCGGTGTTTCTGGGTTTTTTTCCAAGAAGTTTTTGACGGTACCTATATCTTGCAGGGTTTCTCCAATGTCCTCTAATAATTTGATGGTGTCGGGTCGTAGATTTAAGTCTTTAATCCATGTTGAGTGGATTTTTGTGTAAGGTGGAATGTAGGGGTCTTGCTTCATGCTTCTGCACATGGAAATCAGAAGACAGGTCTTCTTCAGGAAATAGATAATCTCAATCTCATTAGAGGACTACAGGGTATTTGAACAGGGAATGTTTCTTTTCTTTTTTGAAACAGTTAAATTAGATTGACCTTCATAGCCATTATGCTTGATATTATATCCATACAACATTTACAGCTGTATTTGAAATGATTGGCATACCTGATCCATCAAAATACCAACCTATAAGTAAACTAAACTTCTCATTATTTTCAAAATTCTTCGGGGTCAGTATCTTCAGTCTCATACTATCCTTGAGCAATGGAAGCTTTGAGGTTGAAGGAAACGTCACCAATCAATAGGTATCAAAATAGCTGAGATGGGAACAAGTTGCTCTTCTTGGAACTAACCATAATCTTTCCAATACATATTGTTATGCAAAATTAATAATCAAATTGCAGGTCTGTTTCACATTTAATTTTAGCTTGCCATCACAGGGTATGTACTCTGTCAAACCAGACTCCACAAAATAAGGCTACTTGAGTGTTAGAGACAAATGTGAATATTATTTCTATTGATGAATCAACTTGTGTGACATTCAACATTATTAACTACTCTGTGTCTGAGGTACTAGTTCTCTTTGATGGTAAATGACAATTACAACTTTGTAACTATGACTTTAAAATCACATTAGACTCTTTATAAACATCTTTTAATATTATCTGAAATATAGTATTATTGTATTAACATATAAATTATTATTACATTTTCCAATACTATTCATAAATGTAATTTTATTTCTAATTTAAGTTTCATTTGCAAAGAAGATAGGAATAAAAGTTCTAATTCTTGATTCTTTCTCCCCAGGATAAAGACTTCGGGGAAAATTGAGCACCTGTTTTGAATTAATTATGCTGGTATCCAACAATACGTATGTAGCCCCCCAATATTTTATTCTTAATGGAATTCCTGGTCTGGAGAGAGTACATGTGTGGATCTCCCTCCCACTCTGCACGATGTATATCATCTCCCTCGTGGGAAACCTTGGCCTTGTGTATCTCATTTTTTGTGAAGAGTCTTTGCATCGTCCAATGTATTTCTTTTTGGCCATGCTCTCCCTCATTGACCTCCTTACCTGCACCACCACTCTACCCAAGGCACTCTGCATCTTCTGGTTCAATCTCAAGGAGATTAACTTCCATGCTTGCTTAGTACAGATGTTCTTTGTCCATGGGTTCACAGGTGTGGAGTCTGGCGTGCTCATGCTCATGGCTCTGGATCGCTATGTGGCCATTTGCTACCCACTGCGTTATGCTGCCATACTGACTAACCCTATCATTGTCAAGGCTGGGCTTGCCACCTTCTTGAGGGGTGTGTTGCTGATGATGCCTTTCCCATTCTTGGTCAAACGTCTGCCATTCTGCCAAAGCAATATCATCTCCCATACCTATTGTGACCACATGTCTGTGGTAAAGTTATCCTGTGCTAGCATCAAAGTCAATATCATCTATGGTCTGATGGTTGCCCTCCTGATTGGGGTGTTCGACATTTGCTGTATATCTGTTTCTTACACTATGATCCTCCGGGCAGTGGTCAGTCTCTCATCATCAGATGCTCGACAGAAAGCCTTTAGCACGTGCACTGCTCATATATCTGCCATCATCATCACCTATGTTCCAGCATTATTTACTTTGTTTACTCACCGTTTTGGGGGACACACCATTCCCCCTTCTATTCATATCATTGTTGCTAATCTTTATCTTCTGCTTCCCCCAACATTGAACCCTATTGTTTATGGGGTAAAGACAAAGCAAATCCGAGACAGTGTCATAAAGTTCTTGCAGGGTAATAAAGGTGCAAGTTCTTCAAAAACAACTTAAATGAAACAGAAAAAAGATGAAGGAAAATTAAAAAGAAAGAACTCACCTTAATCCTATGTTCACACATGTGTGATATACATTTTCCATTAACTCTCATAAATTGTGTTTTCTGAAACTATATTGGAGAAATAAACAACTAATCTTGCTTTTGTGTCTCATTGCCTTTCCCAACTTTTCTCCATCCAAATCCTTTACAATTTTAATGTAACTTATTCCTTAAAAATTGAGATACAATTATATATCTTTATTGTGTAACACGTGATGTTTTGGAATATATATATGTGTGTGTGTGTTATCTCTCTCTCTATATATATATAGAAAGATAGATATAGATATAGATATATAGATATCTCTCTCTCTTGAGAAATGGATAACTCTGGTTGATCTCACAGAAACAGAGCCTGGAATAATGATTTCCCTCAATAGTTTTAATAAAGTCATTAGTGTGGGTTCACAACAATTTTTCAACTTATCCATCTAAGTTATTTGCTTAACCTTTTGAAGGAGTCCTCAATTGTCTTTTCTACATTGCTAATCTTTTATAAAATAAGAAATGAAATGGCTTTTCAGGTCTTGGCAGTCTTCGAAGCTAAAATTTCTCTGTATATCAAATCCAGAAAGTACCTAATGTCATCACAGTTACTAGAACCCAAGACTTACTTATTTGAAGGAGTGGGTGCTCCAGAAGTCACATGCAGAAGCTATTTTGTAGTTGGATGCCAACTAATTGGTAAAATGATTGGCTGATTTGTTCATTTATGCATTCATTCATTTATGCTTTACTTATACCTTGCTTCATTTTACATATTAGTGAATATTTTTATCAACTCAACTAAAGCCTAGAATTGAACTTAATTACCTTTTTCTGATTGCCAAATATACTGTGTTATCATAACACACTTACAATAAATTTTTTGTTTATGATTTTGTCTATTTAAAGCTAGAAGATATGGTCCATGAACTCACCGGATGTCACTGTATTTATATTTCAGGCTCTAATATGATGTATAAAAGTTATGAATGAAGCAAACTTTCATGAAATGAATAAACTAATTAGTCTACATTTGTTAGGCATTATGCTAAGTACTATCAATTGGAAAAATGTAGACATTCTTCCTATTAGAAAAAAATTTGCAGTCTAGTTGAAATTATCAGTAAAATCATGTTAAATAGATTACTGTGTTAGTAGTCTTTATAGAGGGCAGGAAAGGATCAAGTAATCAATTCAAACTAGAAAGTAACCTGTATGTGAGTGTTTTTCTCATTGTAGGGTCTTCTGGAAATGGGTTTTAATTGTCAAGGGTAGGGACTGTCTTCTTCATGGGATATGATTCTTAAAACTAGGATTTCCACTTGATCATTTGTGGCACACTATGCTTAGAGACTAAGAGGCAGAGGAATCAATGATTTCACTGACAGAGGTGCTTAACCTATATCATTATTTGGAGATATGTTGCTGCTACATAATGATGATGGAGAGAAAATGTTTGGAATCAAAGAGCTTCAGTGAGATACCTCTCCATGCTCCCGTGCTTGGTAAATACCAGTGGCTAAGTGTAGCTTTTAAATACCAAAAACAGCATAGAAACCAGGATGTCAGTTCCTTCAGGGATAAAGGCATTGGACACTTACTGCGAAAGGAACCTAAACCAGCAGAAGCTCTGGCTCTGGGAGACTTGAATCTATAATAAGACATAGAATAAGAGATCATGGATAACAATTATGGCTTCTCGACCAACTATAGTAGTTGGTCTGTAACTTGTCTCATTAGTCCTCTTTGTTTAGATTGTGTTCTTCATTCTGTTTTTTAAGAAATTGTGATTGACCACTAATTTAAAAAAAATGAAAGTCTAAAGTGAATATAAGATGCAATTGAGTGTGATCTTGCCAGTGATAGGCTATAGCTGTAAATCCTCACATATCCCCTTGTAGCGGGAGACAGGACACCAAGGCTTTTAGCAGGAAACAGATTTTGTTTCCTATACCAGCAGTCCCAGAGGATTTGTATCCAGAGTACTGGCCCCAAACAAAGCAGGGTATTGTCTTATATACCCTGACACAAATAACTATAAGTTTCCCTTTACATATTTGACTAAACATCTTATGATTGGATATTTTAGAGCTGTAGCACTGTTTACATAATTGTTACAATGTTGTTCATGCATACACTAAAACTGTTTAAGTTGGGAGATAGCTTTTTTTTGAAAGTCCTATTTGGCCTCTTGTTCTTGGAAAGTCCCTACCATATCTGCCCCTAGCCAGTTTCCATTTACAGCTTAACTATTTGTTTTATATGGTTTTTGTAGGGGTCTGTAGCACATTTTGATGCTCAAACTCTCTTAGGCTCATAGAGCATCACCTTAGTTTAAAGGCATATTTTTACTTTTTTATGACCTTGCCTTTACACCAATTTATAATAGCTAAGCATCATGCCCAAAAGAGGGAAAGGGTGTTGGTATCAACCTTTCCCCCAAGTCTAGTTACTTTAAGCAGTTAGGGCAAACAATTAGGGCAAAAATCAAAACATTAGCTAGAAACTAGGAGTACATTACAGTCAGGGGACTGATGTAGAGAATAAGAACAGTCTACTTGTTTTGTCAGGCAGTTAGTTCCTCAAGTTTCTGCCGTGTCTAGATCGGTCAGCTTCTGAATGACTAAAGCAGGGCTGTTGTCTTTGGGAGTCTCTTGAGATGCAGCTTGTTTGTTTCAGATACAGCTTGGTTGACTTCTATGGCATTGATGGAGCAGAGGTATTGTCCCAGTTGTCTTTTGATATCGGCTTGACTTTGTGGATCCAGGTGACAACCTCTGGCTGCCTTTTTAGCAGCTGCTGTGTGGAGTCATAATAAATACCGGTCTTTTAGCATGTCCAGAGCCAAGGGACTCTAACTTCAAGTTTTTCATGTTTGATGGACCCATAGTTCCAGGAGGCTATCAGGTAGTAAGGCACCCTGGAATTTAGAATTAACAACCAAATCTTAGAAACAGATGTGACTGCCATGAAAGTTTATAATCTAGGCCTTTATTTTTGTAAATGAGAGCATCTTTTTTTAAACAAAGAGTTACTTTTTTCTTGTTGTTTAAGCACAATACTTAATAATCACAACTTTATTTTGAGGTCATTGACCAAAGATTATAGCAGCAGGTAGAAATTTTGTGTAACTGAGAACAGAGTGTGAACCTCCTTAGGGAAGACACTGTTGACTCTCAACATCTGGCTGGCCTGGGAAGAGAGTTGGCCTGAAAAAAGGTTAGCATAGAATAAGCAGCATCTTTAAAAGAAAATGTGCATTCCTGTCTGTGACATTATTGACTCTAGGCTGTCCTTCAATAGTAGTGGTTACTTTGTTAGGCAGGCAGACTGAATGGCCTTTTCAGCCTGGTGTTGTGTTGTGGAGAGGAGCAGGGTCTGCGGTCCTGACTTGGGAGCCTTTCAACTTCGAGGAAGTTCTGTTTTCTTTTCTTATTTTTTTCTTTTAAAGTTTTATTTATTTATTTATTTAAAAGTCAGTTATACAGAGAGAGAAGGAGAGGCAGAGAGAGAGAGAGAGAGGTCTTCCATCCGCTGGTTCACTCCCCACTTGGCAGCAATGGCTGGAGCTGCACCAATCTGAAGCCAGGAGCCAAGAGCTTCTTCCAGGTCTCCCACATGGGTGCAGGGGCCCAAGGACTTGTGCCATCTTTTACTGCTTTCCCAGGCCATAGCAGAGAGCTGGATCAGAAGTGGAGTAGCCAGGACTCGAACTGGCATCCATATGGGACACCAACACTGCAGGCAGTGGCTTTACCTGCTACGCCACAGCACGGGCCCCCAAGGGCAGTTCTGTCTTCAAGGCCAAACTCGTGGGTGAGCTGACAGGACTCTTTAGTGGCTGGATTTTTTTTTATTGACTGCTGTTTGCCCAAAGCCTTGGTTTTCCATATCGAAAATCCATGCCATTTGGGTGGACTGGCCTTGTTGGGACTCCTGATGGCAGGTCAGTGCGTATAAAGCTGTTATTAAAGACCCCTCACCCCCAATATTGTTTTTTGCTGCCTAGCCTTGCTCCTCTTCCTCCTGGCCTCAGGTTAAAATAGACCACAGAGGCAGCCTTCAGAACATCAGCCAAGGGGATGACGTCAGTCCCATCCCTAAATTTAGGTGGGCTGAGCTGGAAATGTGTAGTCACAGGTATGTTTTGGCTGTGTTTTTCTTGTGAGATAAGACAATGCCCATGAGGAGAGTTGTGTCCTTTAGGTAAGATCAAAACTTGGTGATCAAAAAAAAAAAGGCCGCTGCCGTGGCTCACTAGGCTAATCCTCTCCTAGCGGCGCCGGCACACCGGGTTCTAGTCCCAGTTGGGGCACCGGATTCTGTCCCGGTTGCCCCTCTTCCAGGCCAGCTCTCTGCTGTGGCCAGGGAGTGCAGTGGAGGATGGCCCAAGTGCTTGGGCCCTGCACCCCATGGGAGACCAGGAGAAGCACCTGGCTCCTGGCTCCTGCCATCGGATCAGCGCGGTGTGCCAGCC